TTTTCTCTGTATCTATGAAGCGCCTTGAGGTGACTTATGTTGTGATTTGGCGCTATATAAATAAAATTGAATTGAATTGAATTGAATTAAAGATATGCACATCTTACCAGACATTCAGTCTTTTACCAAACACCTTAATGCTGTTGAGGTGTGTGATGGCCCTGTCCACAGCATACTCATCTCCCATCTCAACCAACGCTGTGCCAGGAACACTCTTCATAAACTTAACCTATAACAAGCACATAGATAACAGCTGTTCTAAAGAGGTACCATACATTGTGAAAGCAGTGTACATGTTTTACTGATGTAAACATTCCTTCATGTTAACCATTAGAAGACACAGTGTACATTAGAGGACATTTGGAAGGCTATCTAAAGTCAGGATATTTTACACTTGTGCTTTTTTGTGACATCAGGTAGTAATTTGCACAATCCACATTGGAGAATATAGCTATTCTGACTGTGTCATGAAATCAACATACTCTATGAGAACACTCAATGGGTTTGATGTTTGGGGAAGTTCTCTAAGTGTTTCAGGAGCAGCAGAATCTATTTGTTATTTTGTTATAAGGTAGCGATGAGCAGATATGGAAATATTATTAACCCTCTCAAGGCAGGCGTTGCCGATTTGCAACAGTTAAAAACTAACAACCTGATTACCCCACATACATATTTTATGAGTTTTTTTTAGAAGTACCACTGCAGGACTTGGTTGTGCATTAGCAACAAAAAGTTTAATTTGAGCCTGAGAGGGTTAAAGTGCTGGGAGTAATTTATGGCATACCGAAAGTGAACAGGAGGAGGCAGATAATTAAACCCTAAAGTTAAAATTTCAATTGTATGAGAAAACAATGTAAACAATCTCTGATATCACATTAAAAAAGGAGAATCAGACCTATGTTTGGTTTGGTTTGGTTTGCAGGGGTACATCACATGTCCTGACATTAAACAGAATTCAATGACACAAAAGCACATGAGTGACAACAAGAAAACGGATAGTACATTTCTAAATAATGCAGTAGGTGTTGATGTACAGAGGTCTAATCCCATTCAATATACTGTCATTTACTTGTGAGTAGGACTGAAGGGCCAGGATATGATAGACACACACACAATTTCTGAGTTTGCTTCCACTGGAATCTTTTTATTGTTTTTACTAGCTTTTCCCTTCCAGCACAATTTCTACAACCTAATTATTAATTAATTGTTAATAAAATTAACAGCTGTTGCCGTGTTTCTAATAAAACACGCCAAAGACACATGAAGAATACACAAACAAACACTTACCTTTTCAATGTTGCCGTAGAGGCAGAAGAGGTTGAAGATGCGGGTGCAGTTCATCTTGGATGGATGGAGGCCACTTACCATGGCGACAGAACTGGGGGCATGGCCAGAGTATGACGAGGATGACTGCGGCAGTGGATAAGACACCATGTCTGGAACGTCCAATGAGGTGAGCTTGTACCTGCTGTTGCCGGGCAGTGGCAGCAGGGGACATGGTGGACCTGGGAAGGCACACATCAAAACAGTCGCTGTCTTGCAAGAACAATGAAAGGCTGTCTGCACCAATCCAATTCTGAACCACTTCATGCGCCACAGGTGAATAAGTGAGCGCACACTCACAGCCAACATATCATTGGCATGGAAGCTCTTTACTGTGAGTGATGAATCAAAGTACGCCAAAGTAAACTGTGGGGTGACCACCACAACGACAAATGTATCAACAAAACTAATCAGACACTTAAATCACCCCCAACCAAGCAGCAACATAGGAAGACAACTGAAAATGAGAAAAGGATTGATGCCCTGTTATGACTTTGGATGACGTGCCCTAGTTTTGAGATGTGTCATCATCTCTGGATCAGTGTTGGCTTAGGCTAGTGATGGTGATGTGGGAATGTCAGCCTGCTACATCAGATACAGGTATGCCTCTACAAGTGTGCACCCTCTGTTTGGCTGCCTTTTCCTTAGCTGTGGCCTGGATCTGTTAGGATGCCTGGGTCGTTGACCCAGAGTTTTGAGTTTATTATGTTACTTATCATTTCTAGTCTTTGGTTTCTTTGTTCGAGTTCTGTCTTATGGTTTATGTCTCTGTGTTCTCTAGTTGCTGTCTCTCTGTGTCCAGTCAGAGTCTGTGTCTATAGTTCAGTCTGTGTTATGTTTCCTGTTTTACTTTGAAAATCCGTGTCTCATGTAAATGTGTCTGGTTTTGCTTCCTTTGTCTCGTTAGGCCTGATTTGCCCCAGCTGTGTTTCCCTCCTGTTGTCCATTCCCTGATTGCTCTGTGTGTATTTAAGCCCTGTGTTTCAGTTTGTCATTGTCGTGATCTACTGTTATCTTGCTGTGTGGTTTGTCTGTGTAGGTGTATTTTGTATTCTTAGTTTTTGTTACCCTTTTGAGTTCAGCATTAAAGCTGTTTTGAGTTACTTTCTGTCTCCGGAGTCTGCACTTTGGGTCCTTCTCCTGCCTGCGCACAGCCATTTCATAACAGGATCTTGTTATAAAAGCAGTGAATGTATAACAAGATCCAACATCTGCAGATGAAAGTTTCGGCCTGTCTCAGCAATGCAAAACCTCCAGCTTCCAACATCAGCATAAAGAAGAGGAAGCCACTCTCATTGCTTAGTAATGACAACAACATTGTCACCCTTCAGACAGACATGTGTAGGTGCAAGGAAAGACTATCATGAAAAGATTTTGTCACTGCTCAGTGACAAAAATACTTATGAGCCCAGGTCTCAGAAGAGGGTGATTGATTGTCTGAACCAGGAAGAACAGGGCGATGCTATTGACTGGACCTCGTACCAAATGCTTTATCCTGGGGATGCTACACCAAGGCTGTATGGTTTACTGAAGACATAAACATCGTGCACCTTTAAGACCAATTGTCTGTATGATCAACTCTGTCCTCCATTGGAGGTAGTTCATAAGAGATTACAAGATGACCCTGACCTCAGCAAGAGGATCACTTTCAGCACCAACTACTGTAAGTACTACACCCAGAAACATGGGTGTGCCATGGGTTCCCAAGTTTCACCAATCGTGGCCAACTTATACATGGAAAAAGTCCAAAAGAAGCTTTTGTATCCTACCCTGGAACACCACAAAGTCACTGATTTTCAGCTATGTGGATGACACCTGGGTGAAAATCAAATCTCAGGACGTTCCACATTTAACGGATTACATTAACTCGGTGGACCAACAAATCAACTTCACCAGGGAGGATATGAAAAGTGGCAGGTTAGCCTTCTTAGACTGCGAGATTTCCATCAGTAATGGGGGACATCTAAAAGCTGACGTGTACGGTAAACCTGCACATACGGATCAGTATCTAAGGTTTGACTCTCATCATCCACTGGAGCACAAACTGGGTGTCATCAGGACGAGCGAACACCATTCCCACTGACACAGCGGCCAGGGAGGCAGAAGAACATCACATCAAGAAGGCCCAGAGGATGTGGTTATTCCAGCTGGACTTTTGTCAAAGCGGGGAAAACTCCTAAGGAAAGCTCCAGGCGATCCAGGAGAGAAGGACAACCGCTGCCTAAGCGAAAACCTTTAGTAATCTCGTTTGTCAGAAGTATCGGAACAGCTGAGGTGCATGTTCTCTAAACACTGTATCTCTGTGGCTTTCAAAGGATACATCTTTCACCATCTTACAATGCTGTGATTGCAGCCATTCCCTAACTCTCTGTGAATGGTACTCATGGCCATTGATCAGTTGTCCAATTTACAAAATAATAACCATGAAACTGATCTTACGGCCTATTGTTAGTCGGTGGTGCTAGTGTCTGTCATTATGCAAATGTACCGTTGGGGAAACCTGCAGTCAGCTGAGACTGAAGAAGTCACTTGAACTTTCTCCCACTGAAAACGCTACATAGAGATGAAGAGAATAGACTTTTGGGGATTTCCTTACCTGGATGACTGAGCATGCATCAAGATATTTACTTGGACATTTTCCTACTAACTGCTCTACTGTAGTTCTGGCAGCACTAAGTGCTTGGAGGGACTTCTTGTTTGGAGAGCGCTCGTATTTAGCTATTGGAGCTCAGTTTACTTAGAAAACAAGAGTAATTGTGCTGGACCTGGCTTCAAACCAATCACTGTTCTTAGAGGTCTTCGTCCCAAAGGTAGCAAAGGCTATTCTGTTTTCTGAGTTGTGCTGTTGGGCTACAGACAGAGCTTTTGTAAGTTTGGGGGGATCTTGGCAAATTCATCTACTACTACTGCATCTGGGAATCGATGCAACCTCAACTTGCAACACACTGGTAAGTGGTCAGTGGCCAGAGTTGTGCTGTTGGGCTACAGACAGAGCTTTTGTAAGTTTGGGGGGATCTTGGCAAATTCATCTACTACTACTGCATCTGGGAATCGATGCAACCTCAACTTGCAACACACTGGTAAGTGGTCAGTGGCCAGCTATGTTCTTTGTCCTTGAAAGTATCTGAATTAGCTAGGCGCATTTCGTCCACCTGTCCACCTGTAGATGAAACCACTGACTGGCAACTGAGTATATCATTCCAATGACAAAAAAAGTTATAAAGTTAGACATATTTAATCTTTCTCAAAATATTTCTCCAGGTAGTCTATTGTTAAATTGCAGCAAAGAATAAAAACACAGAGAAGAAACTGTACTGAAAACATCTCAGCTTGATTTGAAATTAATTTTGTTTGTGTGCTCTACAGAGTGCTTTTTAAAATTTGTTGATTTTGTTGATCTTTACTTCTGAGAAGTAAAGATGGGAGAGGGTCCTAACCCAAACCCAGTCATGTTACTGACCTGTTATAAGTGAACCTAATTGGTTGCAAAATATTCCTCCAGCTGTTTCCTTTTAGTATTTTATTGCTCCATCCCAATTTTTTTTCATATGTTGCTACTATGAAATTTAAAATGCAGTAATATTTCTCTTAAAATGGTAAATTTTCTCATTTTAAACATTAGACATGCTTTTTATGTGTAACTGTGAAGATGCAAGGAGCAGAGACAATAATTCAATTCATTTCCATTCAAATTTATTTATATAGCGCCAAATCACAACAACAGTCGCCTCAAGGCGCTTTATATTGTACAGTAGACCCCATAATAATAGATACAGAGAAAAGCCCAACAATCATATGATCCCCTGTGAGCAAGCACTTTGGCGATAGTGGGAAGGAAAAACTCCCTTTTAACAGGAAGAAACCTCCAGCAGAACCAGGCTCAGGGAGGGGCGGGGCCATCTGCTGCGACCGGTTGGGGTGAGAGAAGGAAGACAGGATAAAGACAAGTAAGTTTAAGTATCATGTAGAATACATGTACTGGCGTTACGTATTTAAAATACAAAATATGAGTAACTGTATTCCGTTACAGTTATCGTTTAAAAAGGTGATAATTAGAATACAGTTACTTTGTTGAAATAAATGGATTACACAGCGGTCTTTTCCTGTTTCATATGCTAGGCTATCCCCTCAATATCCCCTTTCTATTTTTGGTAATTCCATGCATTGCCGGAAACCCAAACAAAACACGAAATAAGAGTCTCTAATGTAAGCATCCTGTTAATGTTGGTGGCGTCAGTTACACAATGGACCCAGAGCCAGCGCAACGTGCCAGCAGTGCACAGGCAGGAATGCATTTCTAACTTGGAAATTCCAACACCACTTCACATTTAAAGAAGAAAGGGATGAAGGGCGAAATCTGACCGTGCGAACTCTCTTTGCCAGCAACCAAGCTGCTCTCAGCGTCAAAAGACTCCAACCTAAAGAAACATCTGGAATTTCTTTTTTAAAAACTACGTTAGCCTACTGCAACTAACTTGTTTTAGTTGTGATAGCTGCCTGGGTTATGTACCACTTAAGTATCTTTGATGTACTATTGCTGTGTGATTTATTACTATTACTGAAGGCTACTCACCACTGAGCTAACATTGTTAGCTGCCGTTAGCTTAGGTCTACCTAGAAAAGAGCTGAGGAGAGCCATGGATGGGCGTCACCTAGCAGCCACTGTGCAGAAGCCACAGAGGGCTGTAGCGACGAGCCTGCAGGCTCCACCGAGTCTCGGGCCCAGAAACCCAAAGGCCATCCACACCCCAGACGGGGCCCGATAGACCATGGAGTCTGGGAGTGAGCCACTACATACCTCAGCACCCAGCCCTGGACACCAAGAACCAGCCACCAGCGGTTGGGGGCACCAGCCACTGAAAGGGAGTGTGGTGAGGGGAAATATGTTCTGAGAGAGGTGGAGTCTAAGACCCAACCTGACATATAGACACAAACATGCATTCCCACCCTCATCCAACATAGAGACACACAGAACTGTATGTAGTACACATGCTCACACTCCTCATACAAACACTATACTCCCGGGTCCAGGCACCAGCATCCCCGGAGTGGCAATCCACCCCCAGACCCAGAAGATGGTGAAGAAAACTGAAGGCTCTGCTTCCATTCTACAGGGTGGGCCATTTATATGGATACACCGTAATAACAT